GACCGCAGCCTGGGGCCCAGCCCCCCGCGTCCTGGTCCCTTGGGCAGGCAGAGCGCTGGCTGACAGCTGCCGGGGCTGGCAGGAGGGGATTGCCTTCCCAGGAGCGAGCGGAATCTAATCTGGGCTCGGGATTACTGACACTGCCTGGCTCGGTGCCACCCCGCCCGCATCCTCACCCTGCCCCTAGCGCATCGCCATACCCCGCAGGAGCCGCCACGGCGGGAGAGCCCAGGATATCAGAAGCCAGCCGGGTGTGTGTAGGGGGCACCGCTGGCTTATGCCCTTAGGCAGGCTGGAAAGACGGGGGGTTCATCCTGCCACTCTCCTCTGGCCTCTTCAATTGGGGGGCTGGCTCGGCCTCTCCCCAAAGTCCCCTCTACCCCCCACCCCCAAGAGGGGCCCTGTCTCCATGCCTATAGGAGCCCCCAGGGTCTGCCCTTCTTACCCTAGAGGGAGCATGAGCTAGTGGTTAGAGAAGCACGCCGCAGGGGGCCTGGATTCTGTTCCTGGCTCTGGGAAGGGACTATGGGACTGGCCCGTGGAGCAGTGGACGGGGAGTCAGGGGGCCTGGGGCCCTGCCACCCACTTGCCGTGCAAGCTAGGACAAGTCACCGACAGTATCAAAAGCCGTCCCAGGTTTTAGGAGCTTCCATTGTTGGGTGCAAAGCGCCAGGCACCCAGGTGCCTGCTGGCTTCACCTGGCACTTTCAGGGGCCACCCCGAGGCATCCCCCACCCCAGACAGCCAAATGGCAGGAGCCGCTTTTAGACAATGGTGGCCTCTGCGTCTCTGGGGAGCGGCGTCACAGCCCAGCTGTTGAAGGAGGAGAACGCCACTGAGCAACCCGACCCCTGGGGCGGGAGAGCGCCTGGGGGTCAGCCCAAAGTCAGGCACAGGATTGGAGCCAGCATCACTGGGACCCAGCACCCCTGCTCAGAACAAGTGACAGGGCCTGCCGGGTGCCCGGGGGTTCTCTTTACATCCCCACCTCCCTCAATCTCCCCCTTTGTCCTGGCAGTTGGATCCTTCTTTGCCCCTTGTCCTAAATGCCTGCAGTACGTTGCTGTGTGCTGTGAAACACCTGCTGCACTCCACCCCAGAGCTGGCTGCCTTTCAGTGGCAAGCAGAGCGCTCCAGGTCTGCATGAAGACGTTTTGGGCGAGACACACAGGGACAATCAGGCTGCTCCTTTGCATGGTCCTGGACTCTTAGCATAGGTCCTTCTTCTCCCCACCCCCCCCAAACCCACTTCCCTTTCTCCCCCTGCAGTGAGATTTCAGCTCTCCAGCCAGGAGCCCCAGCAAAGCCCCAGGGCCTGGTAGCGCGGAGTCTCCCGTTTCACTCCCTCAGCACCCAAGCACCTGAGCCGGCCATGCAAAATTCATCACCCTCACGTCTCATCCATAATTCAACGGCCATCCCCATGCGCAGCAGCTAATCAAGGCTAGTGTCCAATAAACACATACAAACCCAGCGCTCCCGGCCTGGCCGGATACCTGACACGGTGGGACGGGAGGGTATGTTCCATCTGCTGCCCACACACCTGGGGGAGGGATGGCCACTGGTATCCCAGCTCCCTCCGCACAGCCACCGCCCCCCTCCCTTCGGACAGCTGTAGCTAATCTACCCCCGACTCCTCCTGGAGAGAAGCTAGGACTGCACTCCCCCCTACGGCACCTCCTGCTGGGAGAGGCTGGGACTGGAGTGGCTGGGAGCTCCCCCACAGCCAGCCCTCCTGCCCTGCTCTCTACAGCGCCCCCTGCTGGGAGTGGCTGGGAGCTCCTCCTACAGCCAGCGCTCCTGCCCCATTCCATTCAGCGCCCCCTGCTGGGAGCTCCCCCACAGCCAGCCCTCCTGCCCTGCTCTCTACAGCGCCCCCGCTGGGACTGGCTGGGAGCTCCTCCTACAGCCAGCGCTCCTGCCCCATTCCATTCAGCGCCCCCTGCTGGGAGAGGCTGGGACTGCAGTAGCTGGGAGCTCCCCCCAACAGCTAATGCTCCCGCCCACTTTAAGGCCTGTGGCAGAGACACACTCAGCCGACTCTGCCACAAGGAGCAGACCGTCTAACAGCAAATGACGCCCCAACCCCTTCCCGCATCCCACAGCTTTTGCCAAGCAACGATGCCAACACAACCCCAGCAGGTGGCGCTCTCAGACCATGCAACATGCCGAAGGCGTTGTGCTCAGCTCTAGGGCAGGACTGCACCGAAAAGGGAAGTGGCCCCTGCTCCATCGCTGAGGGGTGTGTGCAAAACCCACCCCCGTGAGCCAGGTAGTGACTAGGGTGACCAGACAGCAAATGTGAAAAATCAGGACGGGGGTGGGGGGGGGTAATAGGAGCCTATATAAGAAAAAGTCCCAAAAATTGGGACTGTCCCTATAAAATCAGGACATTTGGTCCCCCTAGTAGTGACACCCACCGAACCCCGGGAAGGTGGATTAACTCCCATCGCGATGGTGAGCGTCTACACTCAAACGCTGCAGCTGGCCCACCAGAGCGCTACGGGCAGCCGTAGCCCCAGAGATCCAGCAAGAGGAGCGGGACTCGCTGGGCACGAACCTACCGCTCCTGGGCCCTTCACAAACGAGGCCACGCATGTCTTTTGCTAAGCGCTGGCCCGCCTGGCTGGGGGCCCGAGATCTGCTGCACTCTCCCCACCAGTTGCTCCTGGTGGGTGAGGCTGCGGCCGCCAGGGACGAGCTCCCAAGCCAACATGACACCCATGGAAAGGCCCAGGGAGGCCAATGCTCCAGGGCTGGCCTGGAACGTGCAAGACGCAAGAGGAGACGTACCGGAGCCCCAGGTATCAGATCAGAGCAGGGGCTGGCCCACATGGGACACAGATCCAGGACACTGCCTGGACCACCAAGCAAAGGGAGTCTGTAGGCCCCAGTAGATAGGAATGGGCGACAGGGGATGGATCATTTGCTGATTACCTGTTCTGTTCATTCCCTCTGGGGCACCTGGCATTGGCCACTGCCGGAAGACAGGACACTGGGCCAGATGGACCTTGGTCTGACCCGGTCTGGCCGTTCTTATATAGGCCCTTGCAGATGGCACGATTTGCTAAGTCACATCCTTGGGGCGGCATGATTAGAATCTTCCTGCCAAGCAGCCAATAATTCCCAGAGGCAACAAGAACCCTAACCCCCGTCACACTGCATGCAAGGGGAGGGGGCATTGCTCTGTGCCAGCCGCCCCCGCAAGCATGCACTCCCCCCCGCCCGCCCCAAGTGACATCTGCCTCCACACAAGTTGGCATTGAAGGAGGCTGACAAGCTTAGGCCAGGGCTCTGAGTTCACTGCTGCTTGCAGAGCGCTTGGAGATCCTGGAGCAGAACACACACTTCTCTTGCACTTTAACAGTCTCTTTCCGCAGCTTGGCCACAGTGCACGTGCTGTAGGAATCGCAAGAACGTGGGGCTCCAGCCAGTCCGAGGAAGGGGCAAGAAACCCCAGGTCAGGAAATTCTGGGCTAGCCTATCCCAGAGAAGTTTCTACCGAACCCCGCTCATCAATCAGCCTGGAAGCATCCGTTTACAGCCCATGTTAATGCAACTGTGGCTGCCCTGAGCCATCTAAATCCTTTTCTGAATCCTACCAAGCTCTTGGCTTCGAGGCTATCTTGTGGCAGTGAGTTCCACCGGTTAATGCTCTGGCCCGAATGGAGCCCGCCGTTACATATCACTCCTACAGACCATTTATCTCAGACACCCTTCTTGCAGTTACAGTAGTTTTCCGTCTGGCGTCGGAAGCATAATTCCCCTGTATTCCAGCAGAGGCCAGCTGTGCACAGCTAGGGAGAGCAACGTTTCTCCAAGCAGCTGGGAGGAGCGAAATCCCCCCTTCGGAATGATTTTGATTTCAGTGCCAACCCCGCAGAAGGCAGCCATGCGCCTCGCAGAGCACGAGGGAAGTCTCCCCCTCAGCTTCAAGCCACCAGGGTGGAGCCTTTTAAGCAGCTCTGATCTTTGCCAAGAGACAAGCTCGTCAGGTGCTTTGGCCTTAGGGGAGTTTGTCCCACTCCCCCCATCCACGTCGGAACTGCTCACAGCAGCCAGAACAGGCATGTGACCCTGCTGGACAGAAAACTGAGACAGCAAAGCTGCGTTTAAGCCCATGGGAGAACGCGCTGCCCTGCTCGCCATGGCACGTTAACGGAAGCCCTGCCACGTAGGCTCAGGGTCGACTTCCATAAGCAGCCAGCGCTGGAGGTGGGACCCCCGGGAACACGAGAGGGGGTCCCACATCTCCCACACCTGAGGAGCTGCTCGAAAGCTTCTCTCACCTGCGGTTGGGCCAATACAAGGTATCATCCTCCCCCACCGTGCGCTCCTAGCACACGTTCAAGTGTTAGCCTGTGCCCGAGATCCTCAGTGCTTTCCAGATCTCCGCTTCCCTCGGGGAGGCTGGTCACCACCAGGGCCCAGAGAAGGGAGACAGCCTTGTTATGGGGCAGGGCCAGGAAGAGAGCCCAGGACCCCAGCGATGCTTCAGCCACTGTGCCCTTGCCCTGTGCAGCATTATCCAGGGGGGGTGGGAAGAAGGGTGTCTTATTGACAGTGTGTAACCTGGAGAACATTAACCAACAGTGAAAGGGCTGGAGCATTGGGTGTGAGCTCAGCACAGTCCCTGTACTACTCTCCCCCAGGGCACATGAAGGCAGAGTACTTCTGAGAGTAACAGCCCCCTTCCATGCAGGCTACACGAAGGAACAATCCCAGGCCCCTTTGTTCGGAGACAGCCGGACCAATGGAAAACCACCCCCCAAGACCAGTCCGGGCAGCGGCTGGGCCAAGCGGGGGGCGGATGCAGTTCTCTCCCTACACCCAAAGGGGATGGATCTGAGCGAGCTGCTGGGCCAAACAGCACCATGGCTTTCCAAGCATCGCCCTCACCAGCAGCCTCTGCTCTCGAGCGCCCGGCAGAGAGGTGGGAAGTGTCCACACAGCTGCAGGGGAGCCCGAGGGCTCAAAGCAGTTAGCCAGCCGGGAGGACAGGTTGCTACGTCTCTGCGGGACAATTCCCCTCTCCTCTCCCTGCTGGAGAAGGGGTCAAGCACCATCAATTGGTTCAGTAACAGGATCCTGGAGCCCCTCACCTCTAGGCTGAACCTGATCGGTTCTGGCAAAACTCCCACCGAGCCATGGCTGGCCAGTGGCCTGGAGTGAGCTCAGGGAAGGTCTCCGTTCAGAACCCACAGCACCTGCTTCCCAATAGCAGCAGCCCTGCACTGGTTAAGAGCTGGATGGGTCCAGCCGAGGTTTGCATTGGGCCCCACATGCTGTACATGGTCTGCGGCCTGATGCCGTTCTCCTCCAGGGCTGGTTTTTTCATCTGCACTACAGTTAGTTCGTTAAGAAAGTTGTGGCCGCTGGGGATCAAGGAGGTGTGACCCCCTCCTACCCACTGGGCACATAGAGGCAGAGCCCATCTCTGTCACCTGCCCGAGACTGCACAAATGTGCCCATTCAACGCAGTGCCAAGCCGTTACCCCCCCATCCCTCCCCACAGCAGAGGGGGCACCATGCCGCAGCGCCAAAGGCACGGCTGGAAGGAGTCTCTGCTCTGTGTTTCACCTGGCCCTGCGTCAGTACCTACGCCGGGGACACTGTTCAAGTCCTGCGCCCCGTTCTCCGGAGGCCTAGTCCCCTCCCCACAGGCTGCTGCGGGGGGGGGGGCTTGCCTTTCCAACAGAACAGCAAGGCAAGGCAGTCAATCGAAGGCCAGGGCAGTCCAACCCACAGAGGAGGGTCCTGTATGCTCGAGCCTGCACGCGCCCCTGCTCCGGCTCATTGCCGGGCACGAGGCTGCAGGCAAAGAAACCCACCACTGCAGACGCTTTGGATGGTTAAAAAAATTTTGGGTTTTATTGTTTTGCTAAACAATACTAAAAAAATTTCCATTTTTATTTTTTAAAGGCAGGGCTTGAATTATTTAATTTTGATCCATTTATTTAAAAAAAAGGGGAAGGGGGAAGATCATGGCAAAAAAAAAAGGATAATAACAAGAGACACTCCTGTAGCTTAGCCGCACCCCTGCCTAGCTTGGGAGGAAGCCAGTTTCACAGGCTCCATAATCTGGCTTGCCGCAGAGCCGATGGCTGCAGTCACCCATGCAGCGTGGATCACCGCGGGACTGCCAGCTGGGTGGGGTACAGGACAGGGGAAGGGTTGGGTTTGACAGAAGCCCGCGTGCTCTCTTAGCAAACGGAGCACAGTGCAGCACTGCTGGGCCAGACCCCAGAGCTCTCTGCACGGGCACTCGGACGTATACAAACCGTGTCCCAGCTTGTAATGATCCCAGGCGCACGCACCTCTGGAGCGGAAAGGGGATGAAGCACAAACGGGCTGCTATCCAAGATCATTTGGATAATTTTAACCTTGAAAAAGACAGAAGCCTACACACGATCTAACACGCACGGTACTCGGTGGCGTGAGCCAACGCAACGCAAGAGAAAGCCACCGTGTCGCCGGATCGGCCAGCCCACCGCGGACGAGAGACGGCTGTGCGGTACCATCCCGTGGGAGGCAGGGAAGAGTAAATTAGCAGCACCATCCTGTGTTATTCCTAGCGCCTGTGTCTTCCCAGAGCGGGCCAGCTGGCCTTCAGCACAGGACAGTAAGAAAGCAGTCAGAAGAGGTTTACGATTTAGGGAGCACCACCACCTCCTGGGGCTCTCCTGCCCTCCCAAATCCCCAGTCTTAACGGGTGCGAACTCTCCCGAATGTCACCCGCAAAGCCACCAACTCTACCAGGGCTGATTAGGGGTGGGGAGGGTGGTTTGCTTTTTCTTTTTTTGCCATGATCCCGGGGAAGAGAACTGCTAGAAGCAGAAAATATTTAAAGAACATTTTAATATATATATTCATATATATATTTAAAGATAAGAAAAATAAGACTAATTCAAGCCTTGCCCTGTGCAAACAAAATTAAAACGGGACCATGCCGGTGGCAGAAAGGCCCCGATTCAGTTAACACAGTCAGATTGTTATTTTTATTTTTATCAGGGTGTTGGGGGAAGAGCAGATTCTCCTACGTCAAAGGAGGGAGGGGAGAATGGTGGATCCCCCCCCTTTACAAAAATAAAAGGGGGGGGTGTTGTGTGGGGTGGCGGAAGAAGAAAGGAAGTCAAAAATAAAACTAACAAAGTCTGACTGTCCTAGGAGAAAACATGGCGGACAAAAAGAAAGGTTGTTAGTCAAGTAATGGATGATCTTTTAAATTATTCTCTTTTTTTGTTTTAAAGTCTAAAGTTTGGAAGTGGTGAGCTCCCCGTTAAAGAGCCCCCGGGAAATAAAATATAACCCTGGCCCTCCCCCGCCCCGGTCTCCTTTGAAGAAATCATGTCGGCTTCTGCTGGATCTTGGAAGAGTGCCCCTGGTGATCGGAAGGGGGCAGGGCTCAGGATGACAGGGTGGCGTCCTTCTGTGTTTGCTGTGCTTGTGAACCTTGCATTACCTTTTGGCTTTCCACATCTCTAAAATGTTTCTCAACCTGGCCAAGGGGAAGAGAAAAAAGGAAAAGATGGCTCAACGTTGCTGGGTTTTAACTGTACAATTTCACATGGCGTGTAAAAAGGGGTGATCGGGTCTCGTGAGTGCCACCAGACGGGGAGGGTGCAGGGCACATGCGCGAAAGTGGTCCCTGGTGACCAGAAGCAATCGTTGTGACCAGCATCGTGGGATTTGCAACAGCTGGGATGGGGATTATGGGCACATGCTCCATCTCCTCCAGCCTGGTAGATGGAGACGGCCAAACTCAATAGCTGCATTTGTCCTACACGTTGGTCTGCAAGGAGACAGACTCAGGCACAGGCAGTATGGGAGGGCAAGGCCAAGTCTTAGACTCTTCCCCAGAGAATGGTCTATGGGGCCTGGGGACAAGTGCCAGGGAGATCACATCTCCCCAGTGGCTAAAACTTTAATATCAAACCCTTAATTCCTTCCTCAGCCTGACTGCTCCGGCAGTAAAACCGGGACGGGGACCGGAGAGCAGAGTCCAGCCTTGGAAGCGGCTTGGCTCCATAGTGAGGGGTTCCACAGGAAGTGGGAACAGGAGACACCAGGCCCCGTCAGTGGACCATAAGGAGACACCTTTTAAACTATTGCCTGCTTGATTCAAAACCCCACTGCAGGCACTGACGAGAACAGTAGTTGCAACTACTGTTCGGCCATAATGCACCATTCCTCGTTGGGAGCGGACAGCGCGGAGCAGGGGAAAGGGGCCTTCCACAGGACCATAGTGGGGTCCCACAGGTACCTACGTCGGGGGATTCACCCTCCCTCTACTCACTATTTTGCGTACGTGACTCAGGGCACTTCCCTCCTTGCCTTTACAGTTTTCCACTTGGTACGGAGGAGCGATAACGACGTCTTCCATCACCACTATGTTCTTCTCTTGCCATTTACAGTCTTTAATGCTGCGAGAGGCAGAAACAGGGCAGGATTTTACTAATACACCTCTACCCAGACAAAAAAAGTCTCACCGCGTTATAGGTGAGACAGCGTTATATCAAACTTGCTTTGGCCCCCCCTGTTCCTTGTTCCCTGACTGCCCCCTCCAGAGAGCCCTGTCCCTAATCACCCCCAGGATCCCACCCCCTACCCAACCCCCCTGCTCCCTGTCCCCTAACTGCTCCCACCCCTATCCACACACCCCGCCCCCTGACAGGCACTCACCGGCAGCGGCGGGAAACGGAGCAACGCGGCCCCAGCCTGCTCCACTCCGCCACCTCCCAGCCGCGGTGCTCCACTTCCCGCCGCCGGTGAGTGTGGGGAGGTTGGGGTAAGGACGCCCCCCGTACTCACCTGCGGCGGGAAGCAGAGCGCTGCGGCTGGGAGCTGGCAGAGTGGAGCGGGCTGGGGCCGCGTTGCTCCATTTCCCGCCGCCGGTGAGTGCGGGGGGATCCCTTCCCCCAAGCCTCCTCCCCAGAGCGACACGGCTGGGGAAGCAGAGTGGGCTGCTCCCGGCCCCCCGCTAATCCCTCGGGCCACTCTGGGACTGCGGGGCCCCCAAAATTGCCCCTCCACAGCTCCTGCCTCCTAGACCCTGGGGGGGGGGGGCTGACCGCCCCTGAGACCCTCTGCTCCTTATCCAACCCCTCAGCCCCGGCCCGGCACCCTTAACACGCTGCTCAGAGCTTAACTGCGTTGTATGCGAACCCGTGTTCTATCGGGTCGTGTTATATCAGGGCAGAGGTGCACTGCCGTGCACTCACCCCATCCACTACTGCCCAGCAGCTCCAGAGCCCTAAGTCGCCCCCTCCCACCGCCAACCTCCCATCTCACGTGGGTTTCAAAAGGGCCCTGTCAGTTCCCAACACTGGTTGTAGCAGCTCTGAAACCAGATCACTGCAGACAGGAGTGAGCCACTGCCCTGCCCCAATAAACCAGCCTTGGGGGCGTGGTTGGGCCAGCAGCCAGGACATCACTGAAGGCACAGCCGGCACCTCCAGGGAAGGATTACGGGAAGTGGCGTCCTGATGAGAGATCCGTCTAGCGGCAAGAGGCGTACATCACTCAGAGCCGTTGTTGTGGGCTTGGAGTTACAACGTCTCCTCTCAGTGACAAGTCGCTCTGCCGGGTTGATGTGCAAAGCCCTCCCGGAAGGGAGCACGCACTGAGGAACTGCAGATCCGATTGCATTCCGAAGCGCGGGAGCTCTCCCATGTACCTGTAACACTAGACTGGGCTTTGGGCTGGCACATCGGCGACTCAAACCCCTTGCACTGCAGCCCAATCGCTCACAAGGCCACAGGCTGCCAGCGTGAGGGTTGAAATGGCACAGCTCCAAGCTGTTATCAGCTCCAGCTGTAATTTAAGGAGGCTAGGCAGGGTTGAGACTCTCAGTCCCACGGGGCCATTTCCACCTACACTACATAGTGAGATGACGTGCAGCCTAGAAGAGCAGTTGGCAGCTTGGCCAGTCCATCAGCAGCAGACCAGAGTCCATGGAAGGCCAGACAGCACACAGGGCAATGGGAGAGGGCAGCAACCGCAGACGTGGGGCCAGCCCAGAGGAGCCTGGAGGTCCTGTTACACGACTAGACGGAGACCACCAGCGAGAGGGAGGCTCTCGGAATCCGTCCTGGGAAGAGTTACCCCGCCCGCTAGAGAACACAGGCGCATGCACGTACCCGAGGGTGAAGGAAACAACAAAGACCTCCCAGCCACCCCCCAGCAGCCAACTTACGTCTTATGTATAGTCTGGAAAAGCTGCTGTCCCTCCAGAGAGACACCAGCACTAATTGCATATGCCTGGCTCATCTTCTCTTCCTTCTCCGTCCGCGCTTTGTTGGCAAGCTGGAGGGAGGGAAACAAAGACCCGGAGCGTTATTGATTTTTGACCACAAACAGCAGAGTCCCGAGTGGGAGAGGCAAAGAGAAATTAAGACTGGCCGGCCTGCATTTGACAGAGGTGAATCCTGCCGGTGAAACTGTTTGCATAAAGGCAACCAGTCACAGAAATAAAACCTGGTACATGCCTTACTGAAGTAAACACAGGGGAAATTAAATGCAGTAACAGCAGGGCTCCAGCAGAAAGACTTCAAGCCCATGCTAGTGCAAGCAACAATGCTCTAGCCCAGAGTTCAGATAGGCACTGGGCTCCTGACTGGTCCAAGTATAAAGCTCCCTTAGATTGTAAGCTCTCTGGGACAGGGACCGTCTCCTCTCATGTGGCTGGCACATCTGAAGCTCCATGCATTCCTCCCTGGATTCAGCCCCACTACAAATAGTTCTGACTATTCAAAGGAGATGTAGTCCTAGTCTCATCGCTTACATTCTGTTTTACAGCTCACATTATCCACTCCGCCACTGCAGCCGTAAATCCAATCAGCTGCAGTCAGGGAGCTATAAACAAGCTTTATGCTGCCCGACCTTAGATCATTTAAGTAACTGCCAGGTTTGTGAGACGGTGCCACGCGGGCATCTCTGAAGAATCAAGACCTCTGGCCACCTTCGACTGTCACCTTTATGGGGCAAGGCCCATCTTTTGTTGCGTGTTCGCACGGCGCGTTGGGGGCCTGGTCCAGGACTGTCCCTTCCAGGCACGACAGTAACACAGATAATACACACTTGCCCGCTCCCTGAGCCAAGCTGGGCTTTTTGGGGGCAGATGAGTAAGATACAAGTTATTTTCACGGTGAGTTGTTCTGGTAACAGCAAGATGAGTTTTATTATCATAGTGCCCGGAGGCTGCAGCCAGGATCGGGGTCCCATTGGGCCAGGCACTATGCAGAGCTAATCTAAGAGTCCCTACCTCACGGTGCTCACAGTCTAGTAGCTTCTGTGCTAGGGAAAAAAAAATTTTCTCATGATCATTTTGCAAGCCCGAGTTACAGGTTCCCAGACACTGCCGGCCATCAGTACCTCTCAGGCCTGACGGGGAACCTCCAAGGGCAAGTCTTCCCGCCCATTCAGTGCTTGGCCTCTCAGAGAAGATGGCATCAGGTACTGCACTGGAAGTTAAGTTCTTTAAATGCTCCTGCTATGCATGTTTCCCACACGTTAAAAATGCATCTCTGCACTTTATGGTTTAGATCACAGGTTAAGTTAGTTTGATGGTAGCAAAAAGGAGAGGATGCAAACAGGCCTTTGCCCTTCTCATCCAAAGATCTTAAAGACCCTTATGTAGCTGTGTATCTGCTTACCCTGCACTAGCCCAGACAGGGTTAAGCCCATGTTATTGACAGCGGAAGTCCCGCCTCCCTGACAAGACTGGGCATGCTCCAAGTGCTCTAGTAGTATAAAGGGAGGGAGCCCAGCTCATTCTGGGCTGGCAGCCACAGGGGAAGGACCTGCCTGGGAAGCTCCTGCAGAGGGCCAGGTGGATGGCTTCAATTCCCGGTGCAATCTGCACCCCAGCGACTGGAGAAACCCTTGGAGACGACTGGCCCAGCCAAACACCGAGGACCAGACATCTCATGGGAAACCCCAGCACAGACTCTGGTAGGAAGTGAGCCAGGGAGGGTGACGGAGTGGTATCTCCCACCCGGGGAAACCCGCTGAGTCAGTGGCAAGCCATTACGCCACTGTTAGGGCCCTGGGTCAGGGCCCAGTGGAGTCGGGTGGGCCCAGGCCCCCCTACCAGGGCTGCCACACCCCATAAGGGGCTCCCCAATGCTATAGACTCTGGCCATTAGGCAGTGCTGCTCTGCGCCAAAGGGTTGCTTTATGGACTCCGGCCGTTAGGCCCGGTTGCCCTGCATCAAAGGGCGGCTCTATAGACTAACCGCTAGGCCACACTGCCCTGCACGGAAGGGCTGCTTTATAGACTCTGGCTGTTAGGCCCCGCTGCCCTGCATCAAAGGATGGCTCTATAGACTAACCGCTAGGCCACGCTGACCTGCACGGAAGGGCTGCTTTACGCTGCCCTGACCCTAGGGGCGTGGACCATCACATGACCTAAGTTTTAAAAAAAAAAAGTCAGTCTAGTGTTTTTAAAGTGGTTTTTAGTAACCACCTCTGCCCTGGAGTCCCCCGACAACTTCAGGGCTTTACAGTCACGTTTTCCTATTTTGTGCCCCTCATTTCTGTGCAAAGCGCACACACGTAGGAGAAATAGATTATATATATATACACTGTGCTGTCAAATGGGCAGTTCTGCTGCTGTGTGTCTCCTAATCTCAGAATCGTGGTCATTTCAGGTACAGGTCTGTCGCATCTTAGGCGCATTTAACATGTGCGATTTCAGCTTTACACAGTCGGCAAAAACAAAAAGAAAAATAATTGAAATACTGTTTCTGTAGTGCGGGCGATTCCGCCCGCCTTTACACTCAATGTAATTTTGACTATACGCGATTTTTTGCTTTAGGCGCTGACTGCGGAATGTAACCCCAGCGTAAGAAGAGACAGACCTGTATTAACAGCAGGTGAGTTATTGGGGTTATGAGGGCTTGTCTACACAGGGAACCAGACCAGTAACTATTCCAACATAGCTACTTCAGGACTCACAACCCCACACACCCTCTGTGGACTCTATTCTAGAATAAGAGCAATTTCATTCTGGAATAGTTACGCCACTCGCAAGGCAGAGTAATTATTCCAGAATACAGTGCCCACGTAGGGGGGTTTACTCCAGAGGAGCTAAGTTATATCAGAATAGTTATGGACGAATAGTTTTTCCCACAATAATTCTGCTGGTCAATTTCCCCATGTAGACAAGGCCTTAATGCTTGTGGAGAGATGGAAACCATCAAGTATTTCCTGCACTCTCTGCTCAGAAGTGGGGAGCTGGTCACAAAGCAGGACTATCCTCCCTCCACTCAGGGTCATTCCCTTTTTTAAAAAAAAGGGAAACTGACCTCCAGCCCCATAGTCAACACATGGGACCCAAACCAATCAGAGGTTACTTTGCTACAAGGCCTTTTACAATGGCCAACTGCAATCACCAATAACCCCCTGCTATACTACCCAACTGTGTAGGGCATCTGCGTAGTGTAAGCCCTGCAAAACTCAAAGCCAACAGCTCTGACTAGAAGAGATCACTGCAGCGTTAGATGTGTGACCTAAAAGCTGCTCAATGTTTCTATGGAAAATGTGGTCATGAGGGGTATTTTAAGAAACAAACAGCAATGCAGTTTTAATCAGTTATGAGGAAAAAAAACCTGTTACAAGAGGAAGTTTCCTTCCCTCTACGTCAAACTTCAGTTTCAGAGTCAGAGGAGATCTGCAGAGCACAAAGCAAGCCACCCACCCACCCCCGCTCATCCTAGGGCTTGAATGAGTCCCTTTATCAGGTCCAGTTAAACCAGTAAACTAGGATACTTATGACCTCTCTAAAGCACGCTACAGCAGTGGTTCTCAACCAGGGGTCCGGGGACCCCGGGGGGCTGCGAGCAGGTTTCAGCGGGGGTCCACCAAGCAGGGCCAGTGTTAGACTCGCTGCAGCCCAGGGCAGAAAGCTGAATCCCTATCGCATGGGGCTGATGCCCAGGGTCCTGAGCCCTGAAGCTGAAGCCTGAGCAACTTAGGCTTGGTCTACACTACCCCCCTAATTCGAACTAAGGTACGCAACTCCAGCTACGTGAATAACGTAGCTGAAGTCGAAGTACCTTAGTTCGAACTTACCTTGGTCCACACTCGGCAGGCAGGCTCCCCCGTCGACTCTGCGGTACTCCTCTCGCCGAGCTGGAGTACCGCAGTCGACGGCGAGCACTTCCGGGTTCGACTTATCGTGTCCAGACTAGACGCGATAAGTCGAACCCAGAAGTTCTATTTCCAGCCGTCGAACTAGCGGGTAAGTGTAGCCAAGGCCTTAGTTCTGCGCGGGCCCCTGTGGCATGGGGCCCCAGACAATTGCCCTGTTTGCTACCCCTAATGCCAGTCCTGGCTTTTATATGCCAAAAACTAGTTGTGGCACAGGTGGGCCATGGAGTTTTTATAGCGGGGGGGGGCCTGAAAGAAAAAGGTTGAGAACCACTGTGCTACAGCACAACACACGCGGATAAAGCAAGTCAACAGCCCGCTGAGAGGGATCCATGGAGGGATTCCCAACGCATAGGACAGGGATGAAAGGGGGAAGTTAACAGATTGTCAGCAGAATGCAGTTGCTTCTTTGCCATAAAGGAGAAAGCATCTCATGCCAACTGATCCCTAGAAAGCATCTTCTATAGATACAAAGCCAACTTGCAAACCAGCCCGTCTTCCCAAAGGCTCACCCCCAACTATCCCAAGGAAAGTCACCGCGGAGGAGCTAGAAATGGCACATTTCACACAGCTATGAGATGCATCATCAAGATTCTCTGCCCCCCTCTTCCCAGTGTGAAAATCCTAAGCCCCACACAGCAGGGGAACTTTGCTACAATTCTCAACACTAGCAAATGATCGATTTCCCCCCTCCCACCCACGGAGGGAGAAAATATCTAGCCAAAAAATAGCCGGTTGTGTCTCGTTTTGGTGCTCAGATGAATGAGACTCATTGGGACACTGTTCCGATTCCTTCTCATGTGCCCCTAATGCCTTTTACTGAAGAAATGTGAAGCTGTAACACCAAGAGAGGGTGGGGGGAATCCTCTTGCTCATTAGCAATCCTTCTGGCTGCTGATTGGTGGTTTAGTTAAAGATCACTCAGAACTAATCTCGCTTGGTAGCTTGATTAAGAGACTCATTTCAACCTAGTTTTCCCGTAACTTACATCTAAGCAACAACCACGTTTCTATATGGCTGCTGGAAAACAGTTTCCCTGACTAGTGGAAGCAGAGATTTTTTGCCTGAGAAGTGTTGCTTTAATGGGTTTCTTTAGCAAAGTGTGGTTGGTTCACCTCATCGTCAGCAGAGAGAATGCCCCTGGCGATCGTGGT